CTCCGGTGTTGTTCGTGTGTCAAAGTTGGAGACCGGACGCTTGAACGGTTACGCTTGCACTTTCAACGCTCTTCCTACGACTTCTTCGTTTTTACTCCTTACGGAGAAAGGTATAATATTCTTACTCACTATAAATTTTAGTACGTGATTCTAGGCAAGATAATCATGTTAGGATGTTAAAGTTTTTATATTCTGCTGCCAATCCTTGCATGGTTACACTTCAAACGGCACGTCCGTAAACTCCCGATCTCGCCACACCTTATCACAACAATGTTCGCCAACTCCTAAAACTAGTACGTCTCTCTCAATTGGTCCTGGATGGACTTCCGTTCTTTGTAAATCCATTTTTCTACAATTTTAAAATTGATGTATCTAAACATATATGATCATTTTAGAATTGAAATTATATGTAACGGTACATCTAGTTTTTTAATATGCAAACAAAAATACTATTACATTATAAACAAATTTAATATATAATTACACATATTAATCAATTTAATTTCTTATGTAAAAAATATATAACAATTTCTACATTTACAACATGAAACTATGGAAAGTGTAACACCCTAATCCATCCAGGTCTGCAGCCCCGTTCGGACTAAAGTATTTAACTTAGTAATCGTAAAAATTTAAAACTTTTCAAACACACTTTATTAATCCCAATAATATTTTTCACAACATATACAGTACGGAGTATTCAACAATATTGCGGAAGCGACTTTAATATTGACATATCATAAATTTCCTTGTAGGATATTTCAACAAAGTTTTGCAAGGAATTGTTGCTGAACGAACGATTTCGATTCGTATAATATAATCGCATATTTGCGTCGTAATGAGTTAGACATCAGAATGGGATACTTTTATGTTAGAATAATAGACCAACGCTAGAGGGGGGGTGAATAGCGTTTGATCAAGAAATCGCAGGAATAAAAATGAATAAGCGAGAAGTAAAGAGAAAAGAACGAGGCACACCAATTTTACCCTGGTTCACCACAACTTGTGGCTAGTCCAGCCTCCCGAGAGACTCTCTCGAGCTACACTACTATCTCGTTAAGCTTAACGGTGCTTAACAAACCCGTACAACTTGAGAATTCGAGTCACACGAACCTCAACGAACCTTCGAAGGAAACAACCCTTCCTTCGAACAACAAGAGAGAGACCTTCTCTTGTCAAGTGTATAAGAACACTAAAAACACTCAAGAACAATACTCTCTTTTAGAGTGGATAATGAGTAAACTAAGAACGCTCAAGAACACAACACAAGCTTCACAAAAATGGCTCTCAAAGCTATGAAAAATTGAAGAATGATTTGCAATAAAAGAGTAGGAGTTGTGAAGTAATGTGATGTGTAAAACAGACCCAAACACCCCATTTTATAGTAGAAAAATAGGCTCCAACGGACCAAAGTATTTAAGGGGTGATTGGCATAATTTGTGGGATTTGATTAAAATTGGATCTGCTGAAATTCACCCAGACAGCGCTGTCCTAGGCTTG